CGCTGGCCCGCAGCAGCAGTGACCGCTCATCGCTTCTGGAGAAACTTCATTTTGCTGCCTATGGAGAAATAAGAGAGACACAAAGTGCTCGGCATCACTGAAGGGGCGGCTGAACACAAAACACGAGCACACGAGGCAAAGAAGAGGCTCTGCTCTCTTTCCCATGCAGTTATTTGGTCAATAGCAAAAGTCTTCCCTGTGAGGGTGCTGAGGCGCTGGCACAGGGTGCCCAGAGAAGCTGTGGCTGCCCCATCCCCGGCAGTGTTCAAGGCACAGGGGCTTGGGACAAACTTTGGTGTGAGTTGCCCGTGCCCATGGCAGGGGTTGGAGCTGGATGATCTGAAGGTCCTTTCCAACCCAAACCATTCTGTGATTCATTTAAATAAAAAAATACAAATCAACACAAAGCAAGGGTGTTTCTTTACCAAGACTGCGAAGGATTTTGTTCATTCCAGTCGGTTCAGTCCCTGGAATAGTCTCCAAATACTCCAAAGCACGGACCTCAAACAGGCCTAAAGGAGAAAAACCAGAAACAATCACTCACCTAATAGAGCTATTCCATCTTCTAGCGTGTGACAGCTTGTACCATTAACAAGGAGGTTACAAAAAGGAAATCATGGGTGTGATGTAGGCTACAAGATGGGAGATGTAAAAACCCTTTGCTTCAGCCCTTGGTTAGAAGGGCAGGAGTTACCATTGACACCAAAATGCCAGTGGGATAACTCGCCAGCACAAAAGGTGTCCTAAGAGTTAAGTTGTCTGACATGAGAGTCTGAAAGTGAGTCTGTAAAACAGGAAAGTAAGATCCAGCCTCACCTTTGACCGGGTTCTTTCTCAGCTCTCGGTCCTGGATGAAGCCTGCAAACATTTGAGTTTCCATGAAGAAGTGCAGGAAGTGCCGCACGTTGCGCGAGACGTGGGATTTGCGGAACAGCTCCCGCTGGAACACGCGCTCCCCTCTCTCTGTGACGTTCATGTGCAGGGAATAGTGTCCAACGATCTCCACAAAGAACTGCACAAAAGCCTCAGAGACCAGGGAGTTCAGGGGCAAGTCACCTGCAAGGAGGACAACAGAGGAGACGTTTCCCTCTACATTCGCCACTTTGGTTCCTCCTCTTCTACAAAATCAGCAGCAGTTACTCTCTAGGCTGTCTCAGACATGAAATCCCAGATGAGTGTTTGATACCAAAGAAGCCACAGCTCAAGTATTAACATTTCTCTCCCATGTCAACTCTCTGCTGCAGCTGAGACAGGTTCCACTCCACAGCTTTTCCAGCAGTTAAGGCTTTCACAATTTCTCTTCCCCTGTCAAACGCAGAGTTTTAACAAGATGGAAACTCATACCAGACTAAGTTGACTTCTCTTACAGAATCAGGCAAATTACAGAACACAAACCCACTGGAAAACTACCTTTGTTACTTCTGATGTGGAATGACACCATTTCCCAATTCTCCCAGTGCAATTTCTCAAGCTCCTCAATGCTCTTTAAAGTTCTCACATTTATCTGATGGATTATGCAGAAAGCAGTTCAGCTTTAAAAACAACCAGTGGGATCAACCCTCTTAAGTAAAGAAACTTGCTGCCTTCTCTATTTGAGAACCATGTTCCCTGTGCCACTTCAGAAAAATCAAAGAAAACTCAAAACATGGGAACTGATACACTTGGCCCAAGAAAAACTCGAGCTTTACATCTACGGACTGTGAAAAGAGGAACAAGTGTTAGGACGCAAAACTTCTAACGCATTCACAAGAGAGATGTTCATAGAATCAGATTGGTTTGGGTTGGAAGGGACCTTAAAGCTCCTCCAGCTCCAACCCCTGCCCCGGGCAGGGACACCTTCCACTAGAGCAGGTTGCTCCAAGCCCCTGTGTCCAACCTGCCCTTGAACACTGCCAGGGATGGGGCAGCCACAGCTTCTCTGGGCACCCTGTGCCAGCGCCTCAGCACCCTCACAGGGAAGAGCTTCTGCCCCGGAGCTCATCTTAATCCCCCCTCGGGCGGGTTCAAGCCATTCCCCTTGGCCTGTCCCTACAGGCCCTTGTCCAAAGCCCCTCTCCAGGTTTCCTGGAGCCCCTTTAGGCACTGGAGCTGCTCTAAGGTCTCCCCAGAGCGCAGCAGAGGGGCAGGATCCCCTCCCTGACCTGCTGCTCACGCTCTGGGGGTGCAGCCCAGCACATGGGCTCTGGGCTCAAGCACACACCGATGGGTCACGGGGAGCTTCTCATCAACTGCTTGGGACTGCCTTGACCCAGGTGCAGGACCTTGCATGCTCTCAGTAAGGTCACAGGAAAATGCCTTTCTAAAATGTTTATTTCCTCTCCCTCATTTGCTAATGGGAAAAAACTTGTCCGTAGAAGTACCTTGTATGTCACTCTGTTGATGAGACAAGATTTCACTTCGTTCTTCCAAGACTTGGACAAGAGCAGCCTGGAGTTTATGGGGCAGGATCTCGTCTTCATCTGACACCTAACAAGAAAAATGGCCATTTTGACAACCTTCTCATGGTGAACTGATGAGAAATACTCATAATGTGGCTAAAGCAGCTTGAGGGAAGTTACTCTGTGATATGGTTTGTCCTGGGGGAGAACACACATTTGTCTTGCAGCCACAGAAATTAAAATCATTTGCTCAGCACCCTCCCACTAGATCCTGTTGGAGTCACACACACAACTGGCCACCACAGAACAGTGTGTCCTAGATCCACAACGCAGACACAGGCTTATGATACCAGTGATAAAACACACAAAACCAACAGAAAATAACCCAAATCCTTTACTACCTTTCTCCAGTTGCAGGCTGCAATGCAAAACAGAACAGTCAGGTAAGAAAAAGGAGATGCAAATATCCTCCTGAACTACTAATACGCCCGTATGTTCACAGCGACTTGTGAGGTAGAAGCACATGAGGTGAAGTTCAGCAGAGAACCGCAAGTGAAGTGTGATAATTTGTCTCACAACTATCACCCTTGGGGGGAAAAACCAACCAACCGAAGGAAAGCCACCCCAGGTAGATAAGAGAGGAGAAAGCCCTGCAGAGAATATGGACACAGCCAGCCAGAAAGCAGCAAAGAGCCTTCGTGGTCCCCTTCACATAAAGAACCCTCTCACTACTCCTGTTGAAATCAGGCTCCAATAGGCAGCATCTTTGGCTTCACAGAGCTCTGCACCTCGTGCAGCTTCAGTATTACAACAAGGATGTGTAAGCCCATTCCCTTCTCTATTGGTCTAAAAGGAACACAAGATACTTCTTCAGCCACTGGAGCTTCCATAGGAGTACCAGCTGCTGCTGAGGCCTTGTTCTCATTTTCTTTCACTGATGCCTTTTCCTGGCATATAACCATGAGTGACTGGTCCCATTATTTCACTCACCTCTTGGAGGAACTTGTCAGCACAAAGATCAACGATCAGCACCTGGGGAAGGATGTACAAAACACAGACTCTTACAACCAGGTATGTTGCTGTACAGAAAAAAACCCTTTTCTTTCCGAGTGCCAGGGGATGTCAGACTCCCAACACAAACTGCAGCCTGTCCCTAAGGACAGCGAATAGTATTGATCCTTGATACCAGTGGGACACCCTGACATGGACCTGGCAAGTTCACCAACCTCAGCAAAGTTTGAGAGTTTACGTAAAGACAGAACCCACAGAGATTATTCCAGATGTCAGCCTCATGCCATTGCCACTGGCCCTATACTGTGCTTCACCCAGTTCTCACCTCTTCTATGGGCAGGTCCTGGAGCTGTGGTAACGAGCAGGAGAGAATGCCAATTAGGAATGGGGTCGGAGAGCACACAATATCAATCATAGAAGTTGGCAGGACTGGTATGTAGGTGTGTTGCCAAGTGAAGGGATAAAGCGTTGCAACTGCAGCATGGCCACATTTAGACAGAGTGCTAGAAAGGTAAGAGAAGCACAGGGTGGATTGTCAACATCTCCTTCAGTACCTGGCTGCAGACACAGGTTAGAAATGCTCAGGGCAACATAATTCACACACATTTACACATCAGCACAAGCCCCATGCATCCACTTTTAAAGGCAATTCTGAGGAGCACGGAATAGCATCAACCCAGACTAAAGAGGTAAAGGAAACATTCCTGTATCTCCTGTCTTGGGTAAACAGTATACTCCAAATTCCAAGCGTGCACGTGTTGTGTGAAAAGTCTGCAGAAAGCTTGTAAATGTCACTATTTACAACAAGTTAGACAAGCTTGCACATGAAAACAGGCCCAAGGCAGAAGAAAACAGTGTCCCTAAGAACCTGCTTTTACCTCAAGTTGTCAGCGACAAAGATCACCCTCCTTTCCAGCAGGAGAGATGCAAAGACCCGAATCGTGTGAGACACACTGAGGCACTTAAAGAGGCATTCGAAGTCAACGTGTTCCAGTCGGGAATCCAGCGGGCGGCAGAGCTCCAGCACCTACAGGCAATCAGAGATGCAGAGCGCTGGAGAAGAGCCACCGCAGAGCCAGACCAGGCGAGGGGCAGCCTGCCTAGAACATAGAATGGGGGCTCCTTGCAAGTGGAACCCCGTGGCCTGGGCAGTCCAACCGCCCAGAGGACTCCCAGACCACTCTGCCCTAAAAAGCAGGGAATGACTTCTACAGTAGATGATTCAACAGGGTTTCTGTGGCAGCCCCTCTCTGGACATAAAGACATTATCCCCACTTGCGTGCAGTTCTGGTGTCCTCAGCGTAAGGACATGGAGCTGTTGGAGCAAGTCCAGAGGAAGGCCATGAGGATGAGCAGGGGCTGGAGCAGCTCCTGTATGGAGACAGGCTGAGAACATTGGGGCTGTTCAGCCTGGAGAAGAGAAGCTGCTGGAGACCTCAGAGCAGCTTCCAGTGTCTGAAGGGGGCTACAAGGATGCTGGAGATGGGACCTTCATCAGGGACTGGAGCAATAGGACAGGGGAAGTTCTGGTTGGAGATAAGAAGTTTTTCACTGTGGGCCAGGTTGGACAGAGCCTTGGGTGACATATAGTGTGAGGTGTCCTTGCCCATGGTAGGGGTTGGAACTGGGTGATCTTAAGGTCCTTTCCAACCCAAACCATTCTGTGATTCTATGATCTTCAGACTAATGTTTTAGAGGCAGCATCACTCCACAGGTCAGTTTGCAAAGTGCTGCTGTGCCCCAGACAGCCTGACACAGCAGAGCCAGTCCTGGTTTCCAGTACCTCATTTCCTGCTCCTGGCAGGAAACTCCTCACAGTAATTGTGCGTCCAGGAGCAGGGAAAGGTGCCTCCATTACACTGCGCATGAACGGGTGCACCAGGGCTGGGGCCATCTCTCGCCTCTTCTCCACTTCATCTAAAATCTGCAAGAAAACACATTAGACATTGGTTTAGTGCTTGCTGAGGCCAGAGGAGATACGAGCCTCTGTCAGAGCACCCCATGCCATAGCTACATGCGAAGGCTCCAACACAGACTCACAGCCCTCTCTTCCCTTGCTTGAGATCCTTGTGAAAGCTCCTCTCAAATGTCTGAGCAATCAAATGGGAATAGGCACCTGTGAGTACAATTCCCCACTCTCAAATCCACTCTCTTGCTACTGTAAGGAAATGTCTTGTATGTGGTAACTGAATTATCACTAGTTAGAGGACTAAAAGCAATACTCCATCCTCCTCCCCAGTAATGTTTCTGAAACACTCTTCTAGAAACTCCGTGCTCCAATGACCAGAAATGAGCTTTTTTTTTTATCATAAGCTTGCCCCTGTATTCTTCGGCAACAGCAGCTCTTCACCTGCAGTGGCTTCCCCCAGACTCTACCTCTTTATCTAGTCTCCTCATAGTGTTAGGAGAAACAAGCCGAGATTCCCCCCGACTGATTTTCCATTTCCAAGTCATGAAAGAAGAGGATGAAGGGGCACCATCAATCTTATCAGGCATGAGGAGCCACTTCCTGACCGTAATTTGGATGAAGGAATGACAAATCTCAGTACTAGTATCATTTCATTTGCCCTGTCAAAGCAGAGGCAGTGAGGAAGCACCATGATCACTAAGCAATTCTAGACTGGACAGAAGCACCCAGTTACTTTCTGGAGCTTGCAGGTTGTCAGAGACTCAAGTCCAATAAGAAGTTACAGGTTCTTCTTCCCACTTCACCTTGGAGAAGAGGTTGAAGCAGCCCAGGCGGCTAACGATGCAGTACACCTCAGGAAGGCGCTTCCCCTTCCCTTCTGGCTGAAAGACAACAGGAAGAGTTATGCTGAGAACAAGGATGCAATAAAGCACCTAGCACCTACACTGCAGCAGATGTGCACAATTCCTTCTGCTGGAGTTCCCTTTACACTTCTGACTTTAGATTCCTGCGGAATGATGAATTCCAGGAGCTGCCTTTCAAGCCCAGAGCCCATTTCACTGTATTGCTGAGCATCACCATGCTCCCTCCTTTACCCATTGAAGGGGCTGGTAACAGCAGCAGCACAGGCACTATGTAACCCACATGGGAAATGACTGCTGATTCATGTCATGCACTTAACTGTGCATTTATCAACACACTCTTTACCCTCAACCCAACACACAGATGCTTACCAGGAGCTTCTTGCAGTACCCAAACCAGCGGCTGCCGTCCTCGCCCGTCAACACAAAAGAAAATGTTTCACTGGGGAACCAAAGAACAGTGAGGGTTAAATTCACCAGCCAGTTCAGAGAAGAGACTGACAAAGCTCACAAACTACAAGCCATTTTCTTTCTGGTCATGCTGAAGACCCCCTGCTGTGGTTAGCAAGCTACTTTGATCTCTATTCAGTGTAGAAACCTGCAGCCCCTGGACTCTCGTTGAACTACTACAGCTCTCTTCCTTCCCAGCTGCTTCTCTGTTCCACCAAGGAACAGCAGAAGCACTTGGCCTTGAACAGACATTACAAACTTCCTTCTCATAGGCAAGAAGGGGCTCAGGTGGAAACAGCACTTCCCCTACCACCGGCGCCAGGGACACAGCCTTTCCTGTTTTAACTTGCTCTGCAGTTCCTCTGGTCCAGAACACTGGCACCAACCTAAGCTTTCAGCATTGCCCGTTTCAGGCATGCGTATTCAAAACCAAGTCTTTACCTTTTAAGGTCTGATGCAGGAAACCAGTCTTTGGGATCTGGAAAGCAGAATCTGGGAATGACCTTTAGCCTCTCTTCAGTATCCTTTGACTGTCTGAAGGGATGTTCAGTCTGGAGGAGTAACACATGCATTTGAAGTCACTTAAGTGTGGTGCACAGCTGCAGCATTTAAAACAGTGGGAAACAGCGTGCTCCTGACACTTCCCCACACTGAACCATCACATAGCTACTGACCAAGTATAGGAGAATATATTCTGACTGTAACAGATTTCTGGTTCCCTCTTGGATCTTCCCTGCTCATTGGATCTTTGTGAAATTACCCACTGCTCTTGGTAAGAAGTGAGTAAGCATTTACAAGCATGGCCAAGTTTACTGGGGAAAAAAGCTAGAACTGACCCCCCAAAAGATGGCTGTGTCAGCTTGCCTCAGTTCTATTCCTAGGAGAGCTGAAGACACAAAGAGGTACAGGAATGTGTTCAGCTTGTGATGTGCAGATCACTCAGTTGTGAAAACCGTGTATCTGAATCCTATGTCCCAGATACCATGTGAGGGTTCAAGTCAAACCTCTCAAAGATTACAGGACAACTTTCCATGCTCAAAACTGCCCAGAATGGGGCAAAAGGAAGGGTTTTAAGTAAGAGAGTAGGAAATGGCCCTGAGAAGTTGAAAGTTTATTGCATAAAGCTGATTATAGACATTGCACCCTCAGTCAGCACATCCAGGTTATTCCAGTGTCCCAAGATGTGAGAGCATGAAGGAGCAGTTAGGAAAATAGCACAGCATTTTCACAGAGTAACAGCTGTACAAAAGCACTGATGTCCTTGGGCACACAGCCCAAAGAAGAGGGTGACAAGCAGATTACTTGGAACCAAGGCTATTTTTAGAAGGGAGACAAATCAGAACACCTCCACAATTCCTGGGCCATGTTTCCTGCACAATCCCAGCATGACAGACTGTCCCATGTAAAGTAACTCACCAGAACACTGGAATTTGTGTGTAACAGAGCAAGGTGCTTCATATTCCATGCCTGTATCCTAACCAGTGGCCAGCTTTACTAGTGAAGAGTTTAGGAAGGGATACACAGAATGAGAGAAAACAAAGAGCTGCTGAGTGTTTTGTGGGCAGGTTTCCATGCAGCTCCTACCTTGCTGGGAAACTGCTGTATGATCTGTGGTGTGTAGGTCATCTCAGATGCCTTCTTGTGCAGCGACACCACCACAAACAGCTCAAACAGCCGCTGCTCCTGAAGCTCTATCAGATCCCTCTCCAAAGTCTGGTAGTGTGGGTTCCTCTTGGAGGCTGACCTCAGCAGGCACCTGTGTCGACCTGAAGAACGGAACAAACCCAAAACCAGGCTGTGGCTACCACTGCCACACACCTACAGGTCACAGAAGAGGACATGTCACTACCTTTAGACGGGGAAAGAGGGATGGGTGCATTTGCCTAACATCACTGCTGCACTCTATGGGACTCAGGACTCCTGCACCAGCTCCTCAAGCACAGAACTGTTCCAGACAGGGGAGCACTGGCCTTGCAGCAGCTCTACAAATTCCTCTTAGAATCATAAAATGGTTTGGGTTGGAAAGGTCCTGACAGGCAGCACCCACTCACAAGCACACGCACAGCACCCTGATGTAAGAAATTCCTGTGGCCCAGGCACTGTGACACATTCTGGACAACTCTGAAATCAGGCAGTGACTCAGTCACTGTATTTCTGCAGAGACTCTTCATGTTACTCTCAACATAAAACAGTGAAACTTCACTATTCACTCCAAGTTAAGGCCTCATCTGTGCTTCCCTCCAAGCAAATGAAACATCTAAAAGTATGTATTTTGAGTCTGTAGCTCGGGCCTATGATCAAACTCGGGACTGTGAAACCAGACAAATAACCAAGTGATATCTCCCCAGAGGAAAGGGCATTTCACAACAATATACATGTAAAACAGAACCACAGGAAGTAAGTAGAGGCAAAATAACCTCAAGTGTTAGCAGCAAAGGTGATCCAGAGACAACCTCCTGCAAGACACAGTTAAGTGTGACTCTACCAACCCAAAAATTCATCTAATTCAGGTGACTGGTAGATTGATGGCATTAAACCTCAGGAGAAGGGGCAGAAATAGAGGTTGATTTGCCACAGCAACAGCTCCCAGCACTTGGCCATGCTGCCTCTTAGATATTCCCTTTCTCTATCTTGGCAGAAGCCACGACAGAAGCAATGACTAGTCAGTGTGCTTATCCCAGTAGAGCCTTGGCCAGACGTGTAGTGCTGTGGGGACGGGACCAGCCCTTGTGATTCACTCACTTTTTGGCTGATTTTCCGTATCACTTTCATTCCCACTGGTTTCACCTGAAACACAAAGTTTTCATTTATTAGCCATGCAGAAGGAAGATGGGCAACACCCAAAGTTGGGCAAGAGGGAGAACTTTACATTCATCACAGCAGCATTGCTCAGGCCTGCCCACCTATCCTGCTCAAAGCAGCAGCAAAGAACAGCTGGGACTGGGCAATGTGCTACAGCAGAGTTGATACCAAGTCACTGTTTCTAGTAAACCACCTGTAGGTCAACTGAACACAGGCAAAGAACAGAAACCAAGTGGCTATTTGATACCACAATAAAAGTTAACAGAGCTGCTGAATAGAATACACTATAAATAGAGACCATACCATGGCTACAAAAATCAGAACACAAGAATCTCACTTTAGAGGCACACAAGCGATGAGTGGAGTAGTCAGAGGTGAAGCAGCTGGGGGTTTGTTTTGCTTTTTTGAAACAGCACTTTTAACCAGCAGCCCAGGCTCAGATCACAGCGAATCTTCCACTTGTGCCAGTGTTAAACTTGGGTTAAGCAAGTGTTCCCAATCCGAGCAGTGCTGAGAGCTCAGCAATTACAGCTGCAAGACACGGGACAGCACTGTTGAGTCAGCCCAGCCGGGGCTGCGGGAGGTGGTGGTGCCTGGCCTGCCAGCAGTGCCCCAGGGTGCACAGGAACTGTGCTGCTCAAGAGGTTTATGGTGCTGGAGACTCTACCTTTCACTGGAGGTGCTTCTCTCCCAGCAGGACTCAGCAACTTCACCCTCTTCTTTCCACGCTTAGAATCAAAGATCTCCTGGATTTTTAGTACCAGCTGAAATCCAAAGTAGAAGCAGAGGTTAATGTGGAGGTCCAGAGAAGGGCTCCCAGGTGCCAACAAGACTGCAGCCCAACAGCAACCATCTAGCACCACAACACTCAGAAAGGCTGGCCAAGTCCTACCAGGCTGAGAGACTGCTTGCTAAAGCATTTCTAGCACAGCTCACTGGATAATGAATCCACACAGAATCTCTGCTATGAGAGATTCCTGTTAGCACAACTCAGAGCTGACACCAAACTGTACAAGCATTCTGGCATCAGATCTCCAGTTTTTATTAGAAAGGCCAACTGCAAAGGCACTTGCAAGAACATCTTCTGAGCCCCCCACCACAGAGGACTCTGAACTCTGCATGCTCTCAGGCATCCCAATTCTTTCCAAGCCCAGAAAAAGCAGAGCGCTCTCACTGTAGCTTAGGGTTTGGTTGGTTGCTTGCTTGCTTGCTTGCTTTTTTAAGTGAAGTTGGATGTCAGACAGCTTGAGAAAGTTCTCCAAAGCACAAACCAGGCACAGAACAAGGCTGCTCTAACACGGTCCTTGTCCCAGGGTAGTTTGCTAAAATGGAAGGATTATGCGTCTTTGGCTTGCATAGGTGAAGAAAGACAGTGGGATAAAATAGGGACATTGGGAGAAAACACCTGGAAAAACCCACAGCCCAGTGCAGACGAAGCTACAGACATGAAAGAAGGGTCAGCACTCAGACATTCCAAGTCAGTGCTGTTATCGTTCCTTCCACTGGTCACAATGGCCTTAAAGCCAAAGTCCTAATGCTTTCTGTCACTCCTGCCACTGCTGCCCTGGATTCCCCCCTCACTTGCCAGGTACAGATGCTGCACATGGCTCTGGTTCTGTGTGTCAAAGGACGAGGTATGGGAAATGCAGTGAGCAGGTCAAGTCCATTCTTGTCTCAAGTTCAGAATTCATTAATGCTCCCACTGAATGTAGGAGGGTGGGGCCCAGCCATTTGTCACCACAAATGCTGCATTAAAAGGAAGATCTTCTGCAAGAGAACCTGTTTTTCAGCTCAATCCTTTATCCCCAGCTCAGCAAACCAGGCTTAGGCTCTTCTCCTTTTCAGATCTATTCCTCCCCATTTTCTGCATTAGCCAGTCCCAGCACGAGAAGGCTGCAAGGAAGAGAACAGCCCACAGCAGAAAGCAACTCTCCTGCAAAACTGCCTTCTTCCCCCTCCTGTACAGCCTTATGTAGAGGATTTCTGTGGGAATTCTCCGGGTTTTCTGCAGCTGGAAAAGATGTAG